CTGTCTTTTTAAGTTGAAATTCCACTTGTTCTTATCTGGTACATAGGAAAATGACTGATGTTATACATTTTATCTTTGCATCCTACAAACATCTTTTAATTAATTATTAGTTCCAAGAATGGTTTTTGTCAATTCTTTTCAACATTTACTATATAGATGATCAGGCAATAGTGTTTTCCTTCTCAATTTTTACATCTTCATTTCCTTGTCTTACTACATTAGTTAGTAATTACAGTATACTGTTGAAAAGCAGGGATCCAAGAGAACATCCTTGCTTTGTTTCTTTCTTTGTGTGTGTATATGTGTGTGTGTGTTTCTTTCTTTCTTTTTTTTAAAATTTGTTCTAATTAGTTATACATGACAATAGAATGCATTTTGACACAATATACATAAATGGAATATAACTTCTCATTCTTCTGGTTGTACATGATGTAGAGTTACACTGGTCATGTAATCATATGTACACATAGGGCTATAATGTCTAATTCATTCTATCATCTTTCCTACCCCCACCATCCTCCCCTCTTTATTCTCCTCTGTCTCATCCCATGTTAGTTATGACTAACCTAGAGCATGGAAGATATTTCCATCTTCTAAGGTCTTCCATTTTCCTTAGTTTTCATTGTAGAGGTCTTTCACCTCTTTTGTTAGATTGATTCCCAAATATTTTATTTTATTTTTTGAGACGATTGTGAATAGGACAGTTTTCCTAACTTCTCTTTCAGTGGATTCACCACTGATGTATAGGGAATGAATGGGTGTCAATTTTATATTCTCTTATTCATTGAATTAATTTATGAGTTCTAGAAGTTTTTTGGTGGAATTTTTTTTAATCTTCTAAATATATAATCATGTTATCAGCAAATAGTGATAGTTTGAGCTCTTTACCTATTTGTATCGCTTTAATTTCTTTTATCTAATTGCTCTGGTTAGAGTTTCAAGGACAATGTTGAACAAAAGTGGTGAAAGAGGGCATCCTTGTCTTGTTCTAGTTTTTACAGGGAATGCTTTCAATATTTCTCCATTTAGGATGATGTTGGCTTTGGATTTAGCATATATACCTTTTATAATGTTGAGATACATTCCTACTATTTCTAGTTTTTCTAGTGTTTTGAACATGAGGGATGCTGTATGTTGTGAAATGATTTTTTAAGATGATCTATTAAGATGACCATATGATTACTGTATTTAAGTCTATTGATATGATAAATTACTTTTATTGATTTTTGTATAGTTGAACCAACCTTGTATCCTGGAATGAACCCAATTTGATTGTGGTGCACTACATTTAAAATATGTTTTTGTATGAAATTTTCCACAATTTTATTGAGAATTTTTGCATCTATGTTCAACAGGGATGTTGGTCTTAAGTCTTCTTTCCTTGATGTGCCTTTGGTTTTGGTATCAGGGTGATACTAGCTTCATGGAATGAGTTTAGAAGGGTTCCCTCCTTTTCTAAATTGAGGAATATTGGTATTAGTTCATCTTTTAAAGTTCTGGTAGACCTTGGCTGAGAATCCATCCGGTCCTGGGCTTTTGATAACATCTTTAATTTCATTGCTTGAAACTGATCTTTTTAAAATTTCCATGTCCTCCTGATTCTATTTGGGTAGGTCATATGCCTTTAGAAATGTGGTGATGTCTTCAAAATTTCCTATTTTATTGAAGTATAAATTTTCAAAATAGTTTCTGATTATCTTCTGTATTTTAGTAGTATCTTTCATGGTATTTGCTTTTTCATTATGAATTTTAGTAATTTGAGTTTTTTCTTTTTCTTCGTTAGCCTGGCTAAGGATTTATCAACCATATTTATTTTTTTTTCAAAGAATCAACTTTTTGTCTTGTCAATTTTTTAATGGTTTCTTTTATTTCAATTTCATCTGATTTTAATTATGTCCTGTCTTCTGCTTTCAGGGTTAATTTGTTCTTTTTCTAGGGCTTTGTGATGTAATATTAGGTCATTTATTCACTGACTGCATTTTTTTAATGAATGAGCTCAATACAATTAAATTTCTTTTTAGCACTGTCTTCAGTATCCAGAGATTTTGATATGTTGTACCTCTATTCTCATTTACCTCTAAGTATTTTTTTTTTTAAATTTCATCCTTGCTTTCTTCTGCTCTCTATTCGTCACTGAGTCATTGAATAGAATATTATTTAGTCTCCAGGTGTTTGAGTAGCTTCTATTTTTTAATTTATCATTGATTTCTAATTTTATTCTACTTTGATCTGATAGAACGCAAGGTATTATCTCTATTTTTTTTTTTTTGTATTTGCTAGGAGCTGCTCTGTGACTTAGATATGGTCTATTTTAGAGAAGGATACATGTGCTGCTAAGAAGAAAGTTTATTCACTCATTGATGGATAAAATATTCTATATATGTGTATTAAGTCTAAATTATTGATTGTATTATTTAGTTCTACAGTTTTTTTTTTGTTTAGTTTTGTTGGGAGGAACAAGGAATGTTAAAATCATCCAATATTATTGTGTTGTGGGTTCTTTGATTCTTGAAATTGAGAAGGGTTCCTTTGATGTAACACATATGTTCCATTGTTGGGGCATAAATATTTATGATTGTTATGTCTTGTTGATGTATACGTCCCTTAAGCAGTATGAAATTACCTTCTTTGTCTCTTCTGATTAACTCTGGCTTAAAGTCCACTTTATCTGCTTGTTTACATGGTCCATGTTAGTGATGTATTTCTTCTCATCCTTTCACCTTCAGTCTATGGATGTTTTTTGCCTATTAGTGCATCTCTTGGAGATAGGATATTGTTGGATCATGTTTTTAAATGCATTCTTCCAGTTTATGTCTTTTGATTGATGAGTTTAGATCACTACTGTTCAAGGTTATTGGGACAGGATTTGTATTCCTGGTCATTTTGGTTTATTTCTAGTTTTTAATTTGAATTAGTTTCTCCTCTGATTGACTATTCCTTTAGTGTAGTTCCTTCCTTTCCTAGCTTTTGCTTTTTTTTTTTTTCCATTTCATCTTCATGGAATATTTTGTTGAGAATATTCTGTAGTGCAGGCTTTCTAGTTGCAAATTATTTTAACTTTTGTTTATCATGGAAGGTTTTTATTTCATCTTCAAATCTGAAGCTTAATTTTTCTGTGTATAGGATTCTTGGTTGGCATCCATTTTCTTTCAGAGCTTGGTATAGGTTATTCCAGGATCTTGTTTCTGATCTTTTAGAAAAAGCTCTGAATTTCTCACATTAAGTATGATACTGTGTGTAGGAGTTTTGTAGATACTCTCTGTCAAGGTGAGAAAGTTCCCAAGTATCCAGTTTACTGTGAGTTTTTATCACAAATAGTTGTTTGGTTCAGTCAAATTTTTCATGTCTATTGACATGATCATGTGATTTTTCTTTTTTATTCTATTGATTACATGGATTACATTAATTGATTTTTCAGTGCTGAACTGGGCTTGCATACCTGAGATAGATTCCATTTGAAAACTATAGCTTATTTGTCTCCAGCATGTGGTTTGTTTTTAGTTATTTCAGTACTGGCAATTAAACCCAGGAAGATTTTACCACTGAGCTACAACTCCAGAGCTTTTTTTTTAGATATGTTGGCTGTAACTTGCAATCCTTCTGCCTCTGGTTCCTGATTCACTGGGATTATAAGAATATGCCACTGGGGCCACTGGGCTTTATTGCTGGCACATCTTTTGGTAATAAATTCCTTCCATTTTTGTCTAAGAAGGTATTTCTCCTTCACTTTTGAATAACTGTTTCACAGACTAAAGAATTCTATGTTGCTGTGTTTTTTCTTTCAACATTTTAAACATTTCACTCTACATTCTTATTGCTTGCATGACTTCTGGGGAGAATTTGGAGGTAATTATTATCTTTGTTCATACACATGCTAGGTGTTTTTCTACTCTGGCTTCTTTAAATATTTTTTTTCTTTAATTTTCTGTAGTTTGAAAATATCTGCCTAGATGTTGATGTTTTGATATTTTTCCTGCTTTAGTGTTCTCCTGACATTTCCAAATTTTACAGGAGAGGAAACTGACTAGTACTACTCCAACTACTTTAATTACAAAGCAACATGGATAATTGGTACAATAAATAATAATATACTTAAACTTTGATATAACTTAATCTTATTTTTTCTGTAACTTTTCTCTTGCAAAAGAACAATATCATTCCTTTAACCACCTATATTATTCTTTGCTTCAATTTGTAATTAATTCAAAATATAGTGATCCAAGTTCAATTGAATATTCTGGTCATTGATTCATTTAAATTACATTGAGTTTACTTGTATTCTCAGGATATTTATTAGTACCAGGCAATGAGGTTACCTTTTGCCTTTAACAGTGTTATCAGTTATTAGCTTGGAACTGCAGTGAAGTTACAACTTTCTAAAATTCTTCCACTTAACTTTTTAAATTTAAGATTTTAAATTTAAATTAGTTATGCTGGGTGTGGGTATAGCAGTACATACCTATAATACCAGCGACTTGTGAGGGTAAGACAGGAGGATTCCAAGTTTGAAGCTAGCTTCAGCAACTCAGTGAAGCCCTAAGCAACTTAGTGAGACCCCATCTCAAAATAAAGAATAAAGAGGGCTGGAGATATAGTTCACTACAGTACTCATGGATTGAATTCTCAGTACCAAAGAACAAAACAAAACTTAGTTATAAAATTTCTCATTAAGAGAATTAAAATTAACACTATTCTCTCTTTTATACTTCTAATTTTCATTTATACTGTTGTCTTATTTTTCAATTCTATTTTGATTTGTTAACAGGTACGTGTTTTACTCAATAATCCCAAAGAGCAAAACTTTCTGGAGGTATATAATCATAAACTAGTGACAGGAATACGAACTGTAATCAAGATAACAGAGATTTGGTTTCATTATAATTTAGTCTTTCTTTTACAAATTGGAGAAAAATAGAAGGCAAATTATTTTGTATTATTTCTATTCATTACCCCATAGAAGATTTTTCTCTTGTTAAATTAATAGGTAATCATATACTGACCTTGGACTCATCTAATCCAAGCTTCTTTAGAGACTTTCTGACATAATCCAGAAAAGAAGAACATTTGGAATAGATTTTACCAACATGCTGCTCACTGCAAAACAAAATTAAATACTTTTTTAGTTTTTCCAATTTAAATTATAAATGGTTTTAAATTCAGACATGACATGTTTAAAAATATCTTCTGTGTATACATGTGACCAAAATATATTAATACTTTGGTGAACCTTTTACGATCTGCTTCAGAATTCTTACAACATATAGCGGTGGAAGATAATATTAGGAAGATAATGCTATGAGAAAGAAGTTTCAAACTTACAATATTAAAAATTTAGCCTCATTTATATATATTAATATATATAACTATATATATTTATATATATTAATATATATAACTATATATATTTATATAGTTGTAGATGGACACAGCACCTTTATATTATGTATGTATGTATGTATGTATGTATGTATGTATGTGGTGCTTCGGATGAAAACCAGTGCGTCATGCATGCTAGGCAAGTGCTCTACCACTGAGTCACAACCTCTGCTCCTTAGCCTCATTTTTAAAGGGAACTAACAGGGCTTTCAAAAGTTTCCACTGTGCTACAAAATACATTTCAGTTTTACTGGCTTAATATTATTGTGCACATTTCATTGCAATACCTGCTAATAGTGGCAATAATTCAACAGTTCCATGAAGAGAACTTCTTCAATGCCAGTCAGCGATCAAGCACCATATGCTGATTTGGGTCTGACTAGATGTAATTTTTACTTTGCAGATTTTATAGTTATAGTTTTAACAAAGTATCATGAAATGGTTTTCAATTTAAATAATATAGTGTTACACTATTGCATCTTAACAATTTTTTTTGTAATTCTGGCATAATGTAAAAAATTAGGGAGATAAAAATCCACCACCTGGCCGATATCAAAAATAATGAATAAAGCTTCATTTACTCTTGGCAGGATAAATATAAACCCTATGATTAATGAGAAAATACATTCTACAAATTCTTCCCTTAAAATATATCTTAAGCAGGACACAATGGTGCATGCCTCTAATCCCAGGACTTGGGGGGCAGAAGCAGGAGGATGCTAAGTTTGAGACCAGCCTCAGCAACTTAGTGAGGCCAAAAGATGTGGCTCAGAGGTTAAGCTCCCCTGAGGTTCAATTTCCAATAGCCTCTCCCCTCCCCCAGACAAAAAAAAAAGATAGGTATCTCAAATATATTCCTTCAGTTCCATTTCAAGATGACTGCCTCAATTTGAATCACTTATGTCTTGATTATTACAATTAATTCTAGTTAGGACCTCTGACTGAAGTCTTCCTCCTTCATTTCTGCCTATTATTTTCTCAGAAGAAAACATTTTTAGAAGAACATTTTTATTTTGCCACTTCTCTGCTCCAAAAGCTCTCAATAATTGTTTCTTGTTACAAATTTGAAAATCCTTAATTAAGCCATCTTGGCCCAATATATGACCACATTTTCCCATTCTCTCATATCCCATTACATTTGAGAATTTAGTTTTATCTCCTTAGATGAGTCTACTCATTGATTCCAAACATTCCACATTTCTGTCTTGATGTGTTTGATGATGCAGTCACCCTTAATGGATTACGAGGTTCCTTACACTTCAGCTTAGTTGTACTATAGTCATTACTTAATGACAAAGGTCAAGTTTACATGTTTTTTTTGGTAAAGTAACTAATAATCATCTTTTCTTGTTTTGAATTTCTATAACGCTTATTATTCTTCCGTTCATTTCTTATTTTATCATTGCTTTGAATAAAGTCATCTGAATAGGTTTGCATTCCAGAATGCAGAAACTGTATATTTGTGTCAATCTCAGATTCCACACATAACTATATATTTTATGCATAATACGTATCATATAAATAGATATGTACCTCTTATGTGTCACAGAATACTGAATTGATTATATAGCCAGAAAAAGATTTCATTTAATATTAACTTCTTTTTTTTATATTTATCTTTTAGTTGTAGTTGGACACAATACCTTTATTCTATTTATTTATTTTCATGTAGTGCTGAGGATCGAATTCAGGGCCTGGCATATGCTAGGCGAGCACTCTACTGCTGAGCCACAACCCCAGGCCCCTAATATTAACTTCTTGCCAGCTGCAACACACGACTAAATCAGTCAGGGTCACTCCATGTGAATTGGGATGGCACTGAATAATCACACAGACACAGAAAGTACCTTTTTCTTGGGGTCCAGTGACGAGCTCCTTGGCCCCAGCTCCCACAAGGGAAGCAAGAGAGGCAGACAAGAGAGAGCAAGAGCACACCTTAAGCCCTATTTATTGGGGGGAAGACACTAGAGAAAGTTCCACCTAAATTGGCAAGGTTTGGGTTTCAGGGGCTGTAGCCCAGTCCCATTGGGTGATGCCCACTTCCAGAGCTTTACTCCCCTGCTGTTGGAGGTGAGGTCCATCTGCTTTTGTGAGCAGTGGAAGCCAATTCCACACCTCCATGGCTCAAGGCTAAGGGTACGTGCTCCTCTCTTACGTACAGCTCCTGACACTTGCTCTCATATTAAAAAGGTCTTTATGCTGTCATTTCTTTTTTAATCTAAAAGGACAACCAATTAAGTCATTCCCATGAGCCCGTGATTCCAGTTCTTATATTATTCACTGCTGCCTTACACAGTACTTCAAGCACAGTGGAGAATAATGTGGCTTGGTTTCAGTCACAGAAGTTTTATCATCTCTTAGTTCTCTCAGTATCAAAATGAGATATCAATAGTACTCATTTTGTAGAGTCACTGTAAACTAGATAACACATGTAAGATGCTCAGAAAAGAGGCATGATGTGAACTGTTACCATCCTATTGTTGTTTTTATCATTACCAAAATTAATAATCTGGATTTTTTATATTAACATAAAAAACCCCAAGCAAACAAACAAACAAAATAAGATGTATATTATGTGTATAGATGATAGTGGTCTGTGCCTTGGGTTTTGTATTTCAGGGTAGTTGAAGATAAAAACACTTTGTATTTTAGTTTGCCCTTCACTTACTTTTCCTTTCCAGAATATACTATCTTTTACTATTAAGAAAAAACTCACAGCATGACTATTCTAAGATTACTTTAATGCATTAAATAATTTTTTGCATAAAATTGTTTCTTGAAATCCTTTATTCATCTATACTATTACCTGTTTTTAGCAACAACAGGCAGGAAAAAAAAATATCACCCACACAGAACTAGAAAGGTGATTATTTATTCACAACACTTTTCCTCTTGTAATTCTTCAAGAGTTGCCCATGAATCTTAGGGTATAAATCCTTAACATATAAGCCTTATTATATATTTGGGTTTGACCCCTCCAACATGATTTTATGATACCACCTCCTCAGCAACACTAACATTCTGTCTGTTTCTTGAACACACCATGCTTTTAGCTATAAACACTATTCCTGGAACACTCCACTCTCAATACTTTTGCCTCTGGAACTCCACATTCCATTGAGATCCTATCTCAAATGTTGATTCCTTAGGGCAGCCTTCTCTGGCACTCCATATAAAGCCCCTGATATAGAACACATTTCCTTCATATCTTTCTTGTTTGTTTTTCTCATTATCTATCCCCTGACATTTTAAACCAGTGGACTTTCCAAATGGTGTGAATATTTTCCAATGGGAAAAAGAATATGACAGTTTTTATTTCTATTTTATCCATTTTTAATTTCCATTTTTGAGTTTATTGTAAAATCTATACTCTTGTGCAGAGACATAGCTGCACTGCATATATCACTTAAAAGTAATAAAATATTAATTTGTATATGCATGATTAAAAAGGTTGACAAAGGTATAACATTCAAAAATATGTTCGAGATCACTACTTTAATCACTAGAGAGCAGAATTTCTACCTGTTTTGCTCATGATTATATCCCCAGTGCCTAGCACAGAGCTGCACACGTAGAAGGATCACAATAAATGGAATTAAAAAATTAAACAAATAGATCTTTCAGTTAATAGAGAGAAGCATATCTTGTTACACAGTATAGGGAAATACAATAATGTAGTAAATGTGTATTGTAATCAAATACACAAAGGTAGGCTTAAATATACAGATAAATGTAATCTAAAATATACAGAAAGAACTATTGTACAAATATGTAAAGAAAAGTGCAAAGTAAAAAATACCCATAGCAGCAGCTAATATTTATGACATGTTTACTATGTACCAAGGTTTATTAAATCCTTTGCTGCATTTATACATTTAGTTCATACAACAATTCTGTTTGGTCAGGTCTCATTATTAGTCTTATTCTAAAGTATAGAGAGGTTATGCAAAATGCCCAATGTCTGTCTTCAGAATCTGGGATATTAACTACTAGTCAATATTATCTCTAGCATAGTATGGATAGGACTCACATTCAATATTGTGAACTGATGATGAAGAATGGCCACCTCTATATTTTAGGCCAACAGACACAAGCCTACTTCATGGCAGCCCATCAGAGTAGATATATATATTCTTACAGAAAAGCTGTGCAGGCTTGCCTGCTGTACTTAAGAAAGAGTTTTAGTACTTTAGTGCAACAATGATATAATAGTAATCCAAACAATGCTAAATAATTCTAATAATTAAAAAATGACATGAGAAGAAAGAGAATGAACATATGGTTGGAGGAGACACTCTTTCTAGGTCACTGCCAGATTTACTACCCATACTGTTCAGGATTTATGGCTTGCTAGAAATACTTGAATTCTTTCTAAATGGGACTCATGCTAATTAGGTTGTTCATTCATTTATTTTCAAAACATTTATTGAAATGTTGTATATGCATGGTAATAGTGGTTAGCACAGGCTTTAAACTCAACATTGAAATGGGTTTATAGCCTCACTCTAACATTTATATTATGTCAGGCTCTAAGAATTGAATCATTCATTTTATAAAAATCAAGGATTTTTCTAAGTTTAATAAAAGAAGACAAGTGAACAAATATTATTACATGATAGGATAAATACATGGTGATAGAGCTATTCAAAGACTACAGAGGACAGCACAAAGCAGATAGTGACATCATTCTCTGAAAATGACTTGGGAAGTCTTCTTAG